TCACGCCCAACAGCCGGTCCTTCAACCCACGGCCATGCTTGTGCAGTCGCCACCTTCTCCTACGCCGCCTCAATCCTCTTGTGCCGGTCGCCGCAACGCGGCGGCCGCGCAATCAGCTTCGTTCGTGGTGGTGGTCGGCGTGGGTACACCCTCCAGCCTCCGGTGAGACGTGTCGCCTTGCGGCATCTTGAATCACACGGCCGCCACTTGTCGACGCCGTTTTGATACTAATTTTGTTCCTCGACCCCCGCCGTTCGGTCGGCCGCTTATGCCTGTGCAGGTTCTCCCGCACCGCCTTCACTGGTTTGTTGCCTCTTCCGTCTTACCCGGAGTCGACTATGTCTCGTCAAGCCCATATGGTGCAGTATGCTCCTTCTGTCACTCCCTGGCATCCGGACACTGGTGCTACCGATCATGTCACGCCAGATTTGTCCTCTCTCGTATCTCCAATGATTATACTGTACGGATCATATTTTAGTTGGTAATGGAGATGCTTTACCTATTCAAAGATGTTGGTCAACTGTTTTGCCATCGTTTTCTCATCCTCTTTATTTAAATCGTGTCTTGCATGCTCCTTCTTTTACTAAGCCTCTGTTATCTGTTCAAAAGTTTACCCGTGATAATCACTGTTTTTTTGAATTTTATTCTGACTCTTGTTGTGTTAAGGATCTTTCAACCAAGGAACTCCTCCTCCGCGGTCGGGCTGATAATGGTCTCTATCGCTTAGATCTTCCTGCTCGTAGTTCCTTATCTCCAGCAGCTTATCTTGTCTCTTTAGGTCAGTGGCATGCTCGTTTAGGGCACCCTAATAATGTCATTCTTCGTACTTTGGTTAGTCAGTTTCAACTTCCTTATTCCTCTGTGTCCACGTCCACTGATAAATGTGAGGCGTGTTGTTTAGGGAAGTTACATAGGGTCAGTTTACCTTCTACTTTTCATCGTAGCTCTAAACCTCTTGATTTAATTCACACTGATGTTTGGGGTCCTGCTCCTATTTTGTCATTCAATGGTTATCGCTACTTTGTGCTTTTTATTGATGACTTCTCTTTATTCACATGGATTTATCCAATTAAGTATAAAAGTGATGTTGTCCTTGTTTTCAAGCAATTCAAAGCTCTCATAGAAAACCAATTTGGCACTACCATTAAAAGTGTTAACTCTGATTGCGGTGGTGAATTTCGTTCTATCAATTCTTTCTTTAAAGATGTCGGTATTGTTCATCGTTTAGCATGCCCACACACTCATGAGCAGAATGGCACTGCTGAACGCAAAATTCGTCACATTGTCGACATTGGACTTGCTCTCCTTGGCCATTCCAGTACCTCTTTTCGGTTTTGGGATTTTGCTTCTGAAACTGCTGTGTTTTTGATTAATCGCCACCCTAGTAAACCTCTTCAAGGTCACTTACCCTTCACTACACTATATCACCAGCCACCTGATTATACCTTTCTTCGTGTCTTTGGTTGCGCTGTCTATCCTCTTCTTCGCCCTTATAATAAACATAAATTCTCCTTTCGTTCTACTCAGTGTGTCTTTCTTGGGTATTCTCCATCTCATCTTGGTTATCGATGTTTTGATGTGGTGAATAACCGTCTTTATGTTGCTCGTCATGTTGAGTTTGATGAGAAACTCTTTCCTTTTAAACTTCCTATTTCTAGTTCTCCTTCTTCGCTGCTAGAGTCTCCTGCTACCCCTTGGTTGCGTGTAACCAGTTCTCCTGGTATGCGTGCGTCGTCTTCTGCGTCTTCTTCGTTTCCTTCTAGTACACCAGTTCTTTCGTCTCCTCCCATCCCTCCCGACTCATCACCTTTAGCTAGATCTCCTGCATCCAGCTCTTCATCATCTGATTGCAGTTCTCCGTCGCCACCTCCTCCTCCTTCTTCCCGTCAGCACTCAATGACATTTCGTCCACAACCCAAGCCCAAGAAAATCTTTGATCCCTCGGCTCATCTTACCTCTGTTTCCCCAGCCTTGTCTACTGCTCCTACATCCTTCACCCAAGCCAAATCTCTTCCTCAGTGGCAGAATGCCATGAAGGATGAAATTTCCGCCTCCTCAAAAATAACACATGGACTTTAGTTCCCCTCCTTCCTCCGGCAACGTTGTCGTAATCGATGGCTCTATAAGATTAAAACTCATGCCGATGGCTCCATTGAGCGGTATAAGGCTCGGTTGGTGGCTCGAGGTTTTACTCGATCTTTTGGGGTTGATTACACCGACACATTTAGTCCGGTTGTTAAGCCGGTCACCATTCGTTCGGTTTTGACTGTTGCCCCGGCTCGTGGATGGTCGATTTCTCGGCTTGATGTCGGTAATGCCTTTCTTAATGGTGTTCTAAGTGAGACCGTGTATATGGTTCAGCCACGGGGTTTGTTGATCCGTGCGCCCTCATTATGTGTGTAAACCGCATAAGTCCTTATATGGTCTTAAGCAAGCTCCTCGGGCCAGTATTCTCGGTGGCGGCATTTCTAATTACCTTGGGTTTTGTGGAGTCTCGTTGTGATCCGTCTCTTTTTGTCTATCGCCGTGGGTCTCAGTTGTGTTTTTTGCTGGTCTATGTGGATGTTATTCTAACAGGCAGCACTTCTGGTTTGATCCAGCATTTTATCTCTTGTCTTGCTAAGGAGTTTTCTCTTCGGATTTAGGTCCGTTGAGTTACTTTCTTGGGGTTGAGGTTCGTCGTACTTCCAAGGGTTTGCTTCTCTCTCAGCGCAAGTATGTCACTGATTTGCTACGACTTGCAAATATGCATACTTGCAAACCTGTTTCCACTCCTTTGCAGGCTAATGTTGTGTTGTCTCGTTTGGATGGTACTCTGTTGTCTCTTGATGAAGCGATCACTTATCGTCGGTTGTGTGGCAGTCTGCAGTATACCACTCTCACTCGTCTAGATATCTCCTTTGCGGTTAATAAGCTTTGTCAGTTCATGCATCAGCCTCGCACTTCTCATTTTCAGGCTCTCAAACGGGTTCTTCGCTATCTTCGTGGTACCGTTGATTCCTGTTTAGTTTTGCATCCTACAGATTTGGGTACTCTTACTGCGTTTAGTGATGCTGACTGGGCTGGTTGTCCGGATGATCGTCGTTCTACTACTGGTTTTCTCATTTATTTGGGACCTAATCTCATTGCCTGGGCATCTAGGAAGCAGCCCACTGTGGCTCGCTCGTCTACCGAGGCCGAGTTTCGTGCGGTTGCTAATGTCTGTGTTGAATCGCATTGGGTGTGTCATCATTGTCCGAGTTAGGCGTTTCTTTAAATCGCCCTCCTCTATTTGGTGTGACAACATAGTGCGCTTTTCCTTGTTGTCAATCCTGTGTTCCATGCTCGTACAAGACATGTTGAGGTTGATTTTTCACTTTGTTCGAGATCATGTTCGGCGTAAGTTTGTTTCGGTCAATTCTATCTCTGCTGCTAATCAGCTTGCTGATATTCTAACAAAACCCTTGTCCAAAGAGTTATTCTTTCGATTTCGGGACAAACTTCGGCTTCTCTCTTCTCCGCCATAAGTTTGCGGGGGCGTATTGTAATATTTAGTATATTTCCTATTATGTCCTAGTTTAGGGTTTGTTATTGTCTATATATAGTCTGTATATTGTGCACAACATATTATGAATACAATACAATTTCCCTATTCTAAGTCGAAGAATATGAAATCGGATCAAATACGATGTGAGGGCAAACAAAACGTAACAACCTCACAAAGATATTAATGATTTACCTTGAACAGTAACGCCAACCAAAAAAAAAAAAAAATCCTTGCTAAAATGAGTCACCGGTGCAAAAGTGCAATGTATCGTGCCACTGCCTCCCATCTTTGTTATTTTTTCCTAACTGAAATCAATTATTGTTATTTGATTTAGGTAATAGATATTGGACAAGTTGCGGTATGCTTCAGAAGATGAATATTGAAAATATACGATGGGCGAAACTTATGAGAAATCAAAATATTTTATAATAAGAATTGGAAGGAGTATTTGAAAAAACAAAATAATATATTTTCAAAATTTTATTTTTAATTGGAAGAATACAATAAAAAAAATTTAGAAAAAATTAAAACGTCATAGTATGTAATAAGGACCCAATAGAGAATTTAAAAAATTATGTGCAAAATTGGGAGCAACTCAGCAGCATTTAGTGTAAAATTTGGACTATTATTAGTTTCGTGTGTTAGGGGGTGTTTACATCATTTTCGTCTGTATTACCTTAAAATGTCGGAAAAACAACAAAAGAAAACTTCAGAAAAATCCAACCCTTTCTTGTTTTTTTGGCTCCAAAAAACAGCAAAAGAACAGTAAAAAAAAAAAAAGTAGCATCTCAACCGTTACATTCAAATCACCGCATTCTCCTCAACTCACTCGCGCCTCACCCTAAGTAACCTCTACACATCCCACGATCCACCGTACAATTATAAACAACCCAAAACACCTGTCAAACATCTACAGCGAGTGACGCTAACGCGTTACTCCAATGCTGGGCATATCCTCAACAAACAAGAAAGCATGACACACCCGCCATTTTTCTTCCTTCTCTTTCCCGGCACATTAATGCTCCTACTGTCAGCTCTCCTGCACCGGATAATTCATCCACTCATTTTCTCTCTTTTTTTTTTCTTTTTCTTTGTTGCGTTTCGGTTTTTTTGATTATTGCAGGGGAGAAAAACAAAGACCGCCATAAATGCAAAAGCTCAACCACCATACAGAAGTGGTTGAACTGTAAACAGAGGGTATCAGCTTAACTGTGTGTCTGCGTGTTTTTTTATTTCGAGATTTCTGTAATGTTTGTGTAGAATTAGATTAGATAGAATTATTGGTAATAATAATTAAAGAAAAACCTCCACTGTCCCAACCACAAATTCCAACTCCAATTTAGTGAAATTACTCTGTCACCATCTTCACCGTCTTATCTTAAGGCTCTCCTTTTGTAAACCCCCAAAAGCCTCCTCGGTTTTATCTCTCTGCATTTTCAGCTTATTTGTTGATGTGCTGCTTTTAGATTTTTACATGTGGAATTCGGCGGAGAATCTGTCAGTCCGGTCCTCGTCGTTCAGGTCGGACGACGAAGATGAGGAGGCGCTCCGGTGGGCAGCGCTGGAGCGTCTGCCGACGTTCAATCGAGTGAGGAAGGGCATTTTCCGGAATATCGTCGGGGATACGATGGAGATCGACGTGGATAAGCTTCAAGTTCAGGAGAGGAAGGTTGTGTTAGATCGGCTGGTCAATTCTGTTGATGATGACTGGGAGAAGTTCTTCAATCGCATGCGCCGCCGTTTTGATAGGTTTGCTTTTTTTTTTTTTCTTTTTGTATTCCAGCCTCAATTTTGTCTTTTCCATTGAAGTCACATTTTTGCATGTTTGGTGGGATTTGAGAAATCTCTGGAAATTATGAAACGTTACCGATAGGGAAAGAAACGTTAATGTTTGAAGTTGACATTTCCACTGAAATTTGATTTTGGAGATTGATTTGGTTTGAATAATTGAGCTGATACAGTTTGAAGAATTGATTCATTTTTTTCCCTTTTCCGGGTTGGTGTATTGATTAAATACTGGACATTAATGGCAAAATGCAGAGTTGATCTGGAATTTCCAAAGATTGAAGTAAGATTTCAGCACTTGAGAGTCGAATCTTTCGTTCACGTTGGCAGCAGAGCATTGCCCACAATTCCAAATTTCATCTTTAACATGACAGAGGTACACTAGGTTGAGTTTTTCATTTCTCACTGTTGCTCTGGATACTTACCGCTTTCAGATTTATGATAAAAGTTGGACTTCTTCTAATGGTTCTTGTTCAACCAATCTTCAATTAAGGCTCTCTTGAGGAATTTGAGGATATATAAGGGCAACAGATTAAAGTTAAAGATTTTAGACGATCTCAGTGGGATAATTAGACCTTCCAGGTGGGTAGTAGTTATTTTTGTTTTCACTTTGATTCATTGCTGCTCTTGAAAGAAAGCAATTTTACATCTGGGATTTATTTGCAGATTAACACTTCTCTTGGGACCTCCATGTTCTGGAAAGACTACTCTGCTTCAGGCCCTTGCTGGGCTAATAAAGTCTGATTTACAGGTACTAATGCTTTATGTTTGATCTTTGCGTGGCTTCCAGTTTTTGGCACAATTGGCCAACAAACCTTGATTTCTTCAAAGATGTCAGGGAAAATCACTTACAATGGACATGGTATGAAAGAGTTTGTTCCGCAAAGAACAGCTGCTTACATTAGTCAACAAGATTGGCACGTTGCAGAAATGACTGTAAGAGAAACTCTTGACTTCTCTGCTCGTTGTCAAGGTGTTGGATCAAAATATGGTAAGCTTTCTATCATTTGGAGTAACTTTTAATGAGCTTACATCATCTGGTTGCTTAACAATCGAGAATTGTGCCACAGAAATGCTTTTGGAACTTGCAAGAAGAGAAAAAATAGCTGGAGTGAAACCTGATGAAGATCTCGATATATTTATGAAGGTAAAGTAGACAGTTGAGTTTCTAGCACCTTATTGGTATGGTTTACCTGTTTCTAGCTTTCAACCTTGATCTTTTTCATATCAGGCATTAGCCCTGGAGGGGAAGGAGACTGGCCTTGTCGTGGAGTTCATCTTAAAGGTACTTCCTACATATTTTCTACAGTTGATTGCTCCTATTGTTTTGCTACAGATTGCTTGTACAATTATCTACTGTTGCAATTTTGGATGAAAGCTAATAGAATTGTATCTCAAGCCACGATGTGTTCTCCACGATCCCATATTTCTTTCTTAAAGCTAGCAGTTTTGGAAGTTTAGAGATAAACACACAGAGAGAGAGAGAGAGAGAGGGAGAGTGAGAGAGAGTGAGAGAGAGAGGGAGAGAGAGAGAGGAGAGAGAGAGAGAGGGAGGGGGAGAGAGAGAGAGAGACGGAGGGAGAGAGAGAGGGAGAGAGAGAGAGAGAGAGAGGGAGGGGGAGAGAGAGAGAGAGAGAGGGGGGGAGAGAGAGGGAGGGAGAGAGAGAGGAGAGAGAGAGAGAGAGAGAGAGAGAGAGAGAGGGAGGGAGAGAGAGAGAGAGAGAGAGAGAGAGAGAGAGAGAGAGAGAGAGAGAGAGCAAGAACTCAATAGTTAAAAGTAATTGATAAAGTTCCACCTTTTTATGATACTTATTAGTAAAATCTCTTAGCTTCCACTAGCTCTTCAGCATATGTAGCTAGCATGTTAGTTAGATAAAGTACAACTGGAACAAAAAGAACACCATTTAAGTTCCTCAAGCCAATTCTGTTTGCTTCCAATTCTAATATCTTTATCACAAAGATTCTAGGGTTGGATATGTGTGCGGAAACCCTGGTGGGAGACGAAATGCTCAAAGGAATATCTGGCGGCCAAAAGAAGCGGCTGACAACAGGTAAATGATCGGAATTATGCTTCTTGAACAATGCATGGTCAAGCTTGTCATCATGCTGACCTCCTGATATGTCTCATAGGTGAGCTATTAGTTGGGCCATCAAGAGTTCTATTCATGGATGAGATATCAAATGGACTTGATAGTTCAACTACTTATCAAATTATCAAGTACCTTCGGCATTCAACGCATGCACTTGATGGTACCACCGTAATTTCTCTACTTCAACCAGCCCCGGAGACTTATGAGTTATTTGATGATATAATTCTCTTGGCTGAGGGGCACATTGTATACCAAGGGCCCCGTGAAGGTGCTGTTAACTTCTTTGCATCAATGGGCTTTAATTGTCCCGAGCGAAAGAATGTTGCTGATTTCCTTCAAGAAGTAAGGATTTGACAAAGTGAATTCTGTTAACTGCGCTGTTATTGTCCTTATATTATCCATCTTCTGTTTTTTTTTAATAGGTTGTTTCAGAGAAAGACCAGGGGCAGTACTGGTCTGCTCATGATCGTCCTTACAGGTACATCCCAGTCACAAAGTTTGCTGAATCATTTCGTGCATATCGAATAGGGAAGAGCTTATACGAGGAGCTGGAAGTCCCGTTTGATAGACGCTATAATCATCCAGCAGCGTTGTCAACTTCCAAGTTTGGGGTCAAGCAGAAGGAACTCCTTAAAACCAACTTTGATTGGCAATTGCTATTAATGAAGAGGAACTCGTTCATCTATGTCTTCAAATTTATACAGGTACTCTTCTAAAGAAGTATTCTGACGTTAGGAATCAACCAAGAAACCTGTTAAGAAAGACGACTGGGCTAAGATCCTCATGACCAATCTTAAATATGGATGATCAATTGTAGTATCAGTCCTTTGGATTACAGTAATTTCATGGCATGAATTGTATTCTTATATGCCCTTTTTCCTCTTTGCAGCTGCTTTTTGTTGCTTTAATCACCATGAGTGTATTTTTCCGGACTAGACTTCACCATGATACAATTGATGACGGAGGTCTCTATCTGGGAGAACTGTACTTTGCCATGGTTATCATACTTTTTAATGGATTTACCGAGGTTTCAATGCTTGTTGCCAAGCTCCCAGTGCTTTACAAACATAGGGACTTGCACTTCTACCCAGCATGGGCCTATACACTTCCTTCTTGGCTCTTGAGTATTCCAACTTCACTAATTGAGTCTGGATTTTGGGTGGCAGTTACTTACTATGTTGTTGGTTTTGACCCAAACATTACCAGGTAAGAACATATCTCAGGTTTGCTTGTCACAGGGTTTTACCCCATAGATAGTCTTACATCTGCTGCATGATCTTGCAGATTCCTTAGGCAATTCTTGTTATTCTTCTTTCTGCATCAGATGTCTCTATCACTCTTCAAGCTAATAGGTTCCTTGGGACGAAATATGATTGTTGCAAACACTTTTGGATCTTTTGCTATGCTCATTGTCATGGCTCTCGGAGGATATGTCATTTCTAGAGGTTAGTTAATACATCTAAACTCCTATTTCTTTTCTAGTTTTACAATTCGCTCTTTCGGCAGAACTAAAGAATCAAAATGTCCATTCTTTCTTGCATTATTATTTTCAGACAGTATTCCAAGATGGTGGATTTGGGGATTTTGGATTTCTCCTCTTATGTATGCTCAAAATGGTGCTTCGGTTAACGAGTTCCTTGGGCATTCCTGGGATAAGGTATTTATTGAAGTAGTTAAAAATGTCCAATTGTGTTTCATTTCTTATCCTAACTGGAACTTAGTCGGGGTGTCATTGTTAGGTCAAATGTTTGCATTTGGATTTTACCTTTATGGGACTTGGAATGTAGAAACATATGCAACTTTGATATGTTAAATTCCGCTATCGCACAAATATATTAATTTTCTGATGAAGCAGAAAATATTTTCCAAAATAGAGATGCAATGGCGTTAAATATATCATTCTCTGTGCGTTTCACAGTCTCATTCCTTGATCAATCCTGTTTTTTCTTATGAAAATAGGTCATTTACTTGGTCAGGATGATACCTTGTCAGTTTTCTTGATATATAGATTTCAATCTCACTCTGAACATGAATGATGGTTATTTATACTGTTTGTGTAGAGTGCTGGTAGTAATTCAACATTGCCATTGGGTACGGCAGTGCTTGAGGCTCGTAGTCTCTTCCCCCAGAAGTATTGGTATTGGATTGGTGTAGGCGGCTTGCTCGGTTTTACTGCATTGTTTAATCTCTTATTCACTGTCTTCCTTGCATTCCTTAACCGTAAGCCATCTAGTTTAACTTAATAATTTTTTAATTTAAAGCATTTGGAAGCTTCTTATGCTCACTTAAAGTAGCATATCTCATCGTGACCCTTAAATGCAGCATTGGGAAAGCCACAAGCCGTTGTTTCTGAAGAGGAAATTCAACAGAAAGAGATCACTACAAAAGGAGATCCTGTTATTACTCGCCTAAGAGATTATCTGCAGTTTTCAGGCTCCCTTGCTAGTAAGAAAATCATAGTTTCGTGGCCTTTGCTCTTTGCTTTTTCATGGCATGAGCTTTTTATGCCTTTCGATATTTTTTATTTTGTTGTATTTTTTTTTTTATTATCTTAATGAATGATGTCTTTGTGATGTGGCTCAGGAAAAAGCTTTAAAACCAAAGGCATGGTTTTACCCTTTCAGCCGCTTTCGATGTCTTTCAGTAATATCAATTACTACGTTGATGTACCACTAGTGAGTGTACTTTACTGTTTGCTAATTCTGCCTTTGGCCTGCAAAAAATTTAGGAAATGTTACTAGTTGCAATTTTTTCAGGAATTGAAGCAGCAAGGGATATTAGAAGACAGATTGCAGTTGTTAGTTGGAATTACAGGAGCATTTAGACCTGGTATACTTACTGCATTGGTTGGAGTAAGTGGCGCTGGAAAAACTACTCTTATGGACGTTCTTGCTGGTCGAAAAACTGGTGGAACCATAGAAGGAAGCATCCATATATCTGGTTATCCGAAGAAGCAGGAAACATTTGCTAGAATATCTGGCTACTGTGAGCAGAACGATATCCATTCTCCTTGCTTAACTGTTCTTGAATCACTCCTTTTCTCTGCCTGGTTGCGCCTGTCTGCAGATGTTGACATGGAAACACAAAAGGTAACACACAGCTTTCGATAATCTTGGTACATTCATGCTGGGAATGAAATCTGAACCAGTACATTTTTAGGCGTTTGTTGAGGAGGTGATGGAACTCGTGGAGCTCACACCACTTAGAGGAGCTTTGGTTGGTCTACCTGGAGTTGATGGCTTATCCACAGAGCAAAGGAAAAGGCTCACAATTGCTGTTGAACTCGTAGCTAATCCTTCCATAGTTTTTATGGATGAGCCCACATCAGGCTTGGATGCAAGATCCGCTGCTATTGTAATGAGGACTGTGAGGAATATAGTGAACACGGGCAGAACGATTGTTTGTACTATTCATCAGCCAAGCATAGACATCTTTGAATCCTTTGATGAGGTCCTTCTCTCACTCTGTATCTCTCTTTCTCTCTCTCTGGTGCATATAGTAGCTCCAATCATTAAAATCCTTAAGTAACCAAGTAACAAAAAATTCTTATTAGATTCACTGCCCAAGCTCATTAGTAGTTGGCATGAAGCAACATCTAAAGGTAGCTGATACATCGTCCACTGCATGCCATTTGCTTGGCATTTATAAAATTAAAGTTCACCGTACGGTGTCAGTGAGAAAGTCCATTTCCTCATGCAATTAACTGGTTGATAACCATTATGTTTTCAGCATATTTGTTGGACGAGGATTTCCTCCCTTTCTCAGCTTTTGGCTCCTCTTTTGCTATGCAAATATTAGTTATAATTCTTCTCATATTAACATTGTTCGCATTAATTAAATAATCAGCTTTATAGCTAACTTTTATGTAATACTTTTCGTGTGCAGCTTTTATTTATGAAACGAGGCGGAGAGCTCATTTACGCTGGACCTCTAGGGCCAAAGTCATGCAAACTTATAGAGTATTTTGAGGTATCTGCTACCTTTACTAGGTTAAGTAATTGTGTAATACACTTTTAATAAGGAGATACAAGCTCTTTCCCTTCTGTTTCTGCCATTTTATGTAGTTTCTCTATCTATCTTACGTGTTTTCAGGCAATCGAAGGAGTCAAAAGAATTAAACCCGGGCATAACCCTGCTACATGGATGTTAGAGGTCACTTCAACTGCAGAAGAAAGTCGTATTGGTGTTGATTTTGCAGAAGTTTATCGAAGATCAAATCTATTTCAGTACGTAAACCTTTCACAAAAAGTTGGTTTTTCTTTTCTTTTTTTTTCTGAGATTTTCATGTTGCGTTATCCATCACAGGCGAAATAAAGATTTGGTGGAAAGGCTTTCTAAACCAAATAGCGACTCCAAAGAGCTGAATTTCCCCACCAAATATTCTAAGTCATTCTTAGATCAATTTCTGTCTTGCCTGTGGAAGCAGAATCTCTCTTATTGGCGAAACCCACAATACACTGCAGTTCGTTTCTTCTACACGTTTATCATATCGTTGATGCTTGGGACAATATGTTGGAGATTCGGTGCTAAAAGGTATCACTTCAGTTTTCTTGTTTCTTCCTTGCTCGCTTAACAAATAAAGCTGTTCTTTTCCTGTATTGCAACATTTTGGTGGTATTCAATAGCTTGATCCCTTGACCATTGCGACTAAGAATGACAAGTCGAAATTGGGGTGGAGCATTGTTTTTCTTATAAAATTTGATTTCCACGTAAAATCTTGTTGCAAAAGGAAAATTTGGATTTTAGTTTCGTGACTTTTGGATGCTGAATTTGATAGTTCTTGCGCTTGCTCGAGTAGCATTATTTAACGAAGGGCTAAATCGCACTGATTTCTGACAGGGATACACAGCAGGAGATATTCAACGCTATGGGATCCTTGTACATTGCAGTGTTGTTCATTGGAGTTACCAATGGCACTGCTGTTCAACCTGTCGTTTCTGTTGAAAGATTTGTTTCTTACAGAGAGCGTGCTGCGGGGATGTATTCAGCTCTACCTTTTGCATTTGCTCAGGTACGGTTTTCTCAGAAAGATTCTTTCATGCGGTTTCCGTCTATATCTAATATTTTGGTTAACTGTCCAAAAATGTTTTTCAGGTCGCAATTGAGTTCCCTTATGTGCTTGCTCAAGCACTTATTTACTGTGCAATATTCTATTCCATGGCTTCTTTCGAGTGGACTTCTTCCAAATTTATTTGGTACATTTTCTTCATGTACTTCACCATGCTGTACTTCACCTTCTATGGAATGATGACTACTGCTGTCACGCCAAATCACAATATAGCAGCCATAATTGGTGCTCCATTTTATATGCTCTGGAACCTTTTCAGTGGATTCATGATACCTCACAAGGTAATGGTTGATGTCCTTTATCCTTTACTGATTCACTTGAAGATTCTGACAGTTTGATGATGCACCTCATTTCCTATGAAAGAAACTCCACTAACTTTCTGAATTAAATAGACATTGTTGTTTATAATGCTTCTATCTAATCAAATATTGAACATCTGTTTTCTCAACAAATGCATCACACAACTTTTCTGTCTACAGAGGATACCGATATGGTGGAGATGGTATTACTGGGCAAATCCAGTAGCATGGAGTCTATACGGCCTTGTCGCCTCACAGTATTCCGATAGCGATAGACCAGTAAAGCTGTCAGATGGGATCACTGCTATCCCGGCTAGGGTTCTTCTTGATCACGTGTTCGGATTTAGGCATGATTTTGTTGGTATCGCGGGGTTCATGGTGGTTGGTTTCTGCATCTTATTTGCAGTCATTTTTGCTTATGCTATTAAAGCTTTCAACTTCATGAAGAGATAAGAAAATTTTGGTTAGACTCGGAAATTTTTCTACGCTGTTTTGTTGCAGATATTCTTCCTTGATTCTTAATCATTAGTAAAAGAATGAATAGGGGGTCCGATAGAAACTGTCAAATGTAATATTGTATAGGCTAGTGTTACTTATACGTAGACTGAATACTACTAAACATTCTTTTTTCATACAAAGAACAATAATAGTAGATATTTAACCAGTTTTACTTCTACAGAAATTCTCAGTGTAAACTGTATACATAGAGTTTGGTTTTAGTGGCCTAGTTAATTTTGCTGGAAACTGGAAACATCCTCTCGGAGAAAAATTGTAGGACTACATACAAAATGTCTCTCAATATCCTCACACAGTGGAGGGCCTTTCTGGCCTCCGGTATAGATGATACAAATATGAAAGTATTTTACTATTTTTGTGGGAGATTACAATTATGGTCCTCACTTTGACAAGGATTTCTTCCCCCAGTTTACCACTCTCTTTCTCCACCCGTTATAGGCCCAGATTAATAATGGGGGAGCTCCATTTGATAGGATAAATTTAACTAGGGGTAAAACAGATTTTACTATATTCCAAAAAAAATCAAATCATGAGTGCTGGGGCCATTTGGTTTATTCAACTCAAAGAAGTGAAATACTACTACTCATTAAAGACCTCAAACATAAATATATCAACCAAAAACAAAAAACAAAAGGAAACGACCTCAAAGGTACTATGTCGATGCTCAAGAATACACCGAAAACACAATATGCAATGCATCGGCGGCGCTGTTTCGTAGTTAAAAGTTAGTTACAACCCGGTTAACACAGAGCCTCAGCAGGCAATGCTGTACATGAGAGCAGCAGCTGCACTAGGCAACTTTTCAAAAAATCTCATGATGCTTCTTAGATAGGCAGTAAAAAAGAAATTAGAAAAGAGCGACTATAGCAAAAGGAGAGGCAATGGCATAAATTGTACATTCACATTTCTCCATAGAGCAAAGTCATGATATTAAATGTCCTTCTGGTAAGTGTATATTTCACAGTGACTAGAGACAATATATCGAAATCAAACTTTCACAACGATAAAGGTCAGTAATTCTAATCCAAACTGTGATATTGAAATGGACATTTGATCTAGGAAAAGGAACTGGAGTGCCCTACCATATTAGTGAGGTAATTCTGGTTTATATGCTCAATATGTACAACTCTTCTCATTCCAAACCTTGGGGAATCATTAGCTTAGATGAATATACCATTCACTAGTTCTCTTCAAAAACTAGACAGCTGCAAAAATACCAAGTATACGAATCTGGAGCAAGGACTTTGGAAAAGTATCACTTCCAGAGCTTGATAACATTGCCATCACTTACGGAAGCTACCAAACCGGTGGGCTTAGATGCTGCCAAATTAACTGTCGGTTGTCTGAATGCACTAGCCATTTTGTTTTCAGCCATGTCCCAAAGCTCCAAAGACTGATCAAGATGTAAGAAAATACGTGAGCAATTATCGCAAACAGCAAATAAAAAAATTGATTACAATCATGCAATCATGCAATGTAAATTCTCCCCTTCTGTAGTTAATCAACACCCACTTCTTTACTTCAAAAAAACCAAAAACAAAAAAAAAAAAAGAAAGAAATCCATGCATAACCACACATCAGCGATATAATCCTCCAGCCTCAGTGAATGCAGATTAAAAAACACACATCAGGATATCCAGTTTCAACTAAATCCATGTAAAAACACCCTCAAAAGAGCAGTAAAATAAGCATTTGAATGATGAAAATTTGGACCACTGATAAGCCACTTGCCTCATTAGAACCAAGGACTAGCAACGAAGAGCGGCATGGATGAAAAATACAACAGTGAAACCGCTTGTAGCGAATGCTTAATTCACGGATGCAACTTTCCAGACCCCACGAACCAACTTTCCAGACCTTGATAGAATCTTCACTTATACAAGCTATGTAGTCACCACTAGAATTCCAACAAACTGAAAAAACATCTGTTGCATGGCCCTTCACAAAAAATGGTGTATGTGATGAGTTACAAACACAAGCAGAGGGAAATAAACAATCGTTCAAAGGAGCAACAATACAGGCAATAGATACAGCCCGAAGTAACACGAACTACTAACCTCCAGCGGGTACTTGTAAGTTTGCATAGTCTCAACATCAATTATGGATACTCCATTTTCAACACAAGCAGCCAGATGTCTTCCAGAAGTGGGTTCAAATCTCACCTGTGTTGCACGACCCTGAAAATTGGCCCAATAAATCATGCATGCATTTATATGATTCGAACAAAGTTACAAGTAAACAAGGAAGAAAAAAGGGAAATAATTTGTTATAAAGATGGCATGAAACCCTCCAAAAGCAAAAGCCAAGGCTCAACTCTCTTCCACCTAGCACCTTCTAATGCAACCGCAATGGTGTAATAAACAGAATGAGAACATGAAGGTTCCATAAGCATTAAGCTGCATATGCTCAAAAGCATATACCGTTAATATTCCAGTACAATCGCCATTCTTGATACTCCAGTAGCGGATAGAATTTGCACCATCACTGGAGCAGACAATGTCGTCTTTCTTTGGGTGAAAATCCAATGACAAAACTGCAGAACTGTGGCCAACAAAAGTTCGAAGAGGACATCCTGGCTGCATAGAGAAATTATCAATTCAGTCTTAACTTGTACAGAATCAATCTTACAGGTAAAAACTTGAAAAGTACAAACGAAGCCACGCACAAATGGATTCCATTTTCCGTGATCAAAGTTTAAAATACTTGTGATCCGTAATAGTTGAAATAAGCTCAACTACCTCAACTCAAAGGATAAAGGCAAAGGAAATTTTAAGATATATTCCAGGTAGCTTCACCAGGCATGATGATTTGATGATGTTATTATCTCAGATTGAGGTAGGTTCGGTAATTAAATGTGTGGAAAAATCAAATTAGAAACACGGGCAACCGCATTACATGGTAGGTTAAGAAAACCACTTCCAGCAGAAAGTATCAAGAATATGAGCAATTTCCTCAAATGGGATCATTTTGTTGCTCAAGATAACCAAGCTTTACTAACAGCTGTTTTAACAGATACATAAGGGAGTGACTTAAGGGTTATTCACAGGCCAATTAGAAGAATCATTTGAAATTTGCAGTAACATATGCCAGCAAGATTGGCTCCTCACTACCGACAATAGAAAAGTTCAGGATATGAGTCATCTTACATCGGCGACATTCCAGATCTTGACAGTCCTATCAAGGGATGAAGTAGCAATTCTAGGCAACCTTGGTCCAAAACAAATATCTGTTACGGCACCGGAATGTTCCAATATAAACTTTTCTTTTCCTGATTCTGTGCACCACAAAACAGCCTGTACCTCAATCCCGAAGATTAAATAAGCATTAGTAGCTGCCAAAAGATCTAGAAACATATATAAAAAAAGGATTTACAATCATGCACAATATGTTATTGCTCAGTCACGGGCATTTAGAGCACTCTTACCTTGTTATCATCTCCACCAGTGGCAATAGCCTTCCCATCCATCGATAGGTCACAACATTGTACCCTATTTGCATTTATTGTGGCGATCTCTGAGAATGTTATATCTGTTTTTTACACAAAGCAATTATCAAATGAAAATCTACTGACAAGATATTACATCAAAAAAAAGCCCTAGCACAACCAAAGAACAAAATTAAAAACCTTGGATTGCATCCAACTCTCCAGTAACTATCCTTTCAGCTTTGAGTTTGTCACAAGATAAGAAAGAGTCAACATCATCCTCCACAGAATCCTTGTTCACAGCAATATCCAAATCAGCCTGTGACAAATTGCATTGTAAATTATCCTTCATTACAGCTGGTTGCTAAAAACGATCAAAAAATTCTAGGTTATAATAAGCTCTTTCCCAAATTTGAATGCCCTAAAAGAAATTTCGTCCAGAAATTAAGGGGTACATCAATTGATAATTGCCATGCAGCAGAGATAAAAAAAAGCAAAATTTTCGTTTTTGTTACAAGAAAATAGCCATAAGAAAGTTATCCAAGTTACTTTTACAAAGAAACATGTGCATATAGGAACAAATAGCAGAAACAATAACCATTAGCTAAGCGGCAGTGAAGCTGGAATAATTGATGTATATGTTAAAAAGTTCAGATTGACCATGAACAACTGTTTAAGAGTCACAATAATGATTGGTCTTTCGCAGGTTTCCTCTCTCAGAAAACTGCCCATCTCTCTACTGTAATACAATTTTTTTCAGAACACATAAAATTCCTGGTGGACGAGGGGTACTGTAATCATGGACAATTGATCCATCAGTAGTTTCAAATTTTTTGCTGTGGTTTGTGCCTTGCAAAATTTATAGGGTTGCAGTGAAGTAGAGACAAAACACAAAAGTCATTCCAACCTGATGTAAGATGCTCTCAATTTTCGAATTGGATCGCTTGTATAGCGAAAAACACAACAAAAATGCCGTTTTGAAACAATAGAAATGTGTTTAAAGTGAGCATGTGGTAACCTCTAAAACACAGATAACAGTTCTCAATGGTTGACTCAACCTTGTATGTGCGTGGGCAAGGAAACGGGTACCTTAGAAGAATTATCTTCAGAAGGCAAAGCAGACATTGATATCATATCATTCGTCATATGTGTTGACGGTGTTGAGGGTGTCGAAATCTGGGTTGGTGTAACGGGCTTTGATGTGCCTGAGATTTTAGCTCCAAATGGTATTGGTAGCTTTCTTTTCTTCAAAGGCTGGGTTTTGGAAGCCTAACAAAAGAAAACGGTCTTGAATCAGAACTAAAAGTTAGAAAAGCATAAATAGAGAAATTAGCATCTGTGTGCATGCAGATACAAGCATTTGTATTTACGTGCATATGAATACAAAGTCATTTATTATGATGGGTGTACCCAGTCGAAAGGAACTACATCTGAGTTTATACCACTGTGTTAGTATTCCCAAAAATGATTTGGTTAGCAAATGTCCATATTCAGCTAAAGAGTAGTGCTCCAATGAAAGGAAAATGACTTTTTAATTTTCTTTAGGAAAAAAAAAATGCCTATTGCAAATGTCCTACAAATAAGATAGCCACAAAAATTGTTAAATGCAAACAACATTAATTGAATGCTTTTTTACGACTATAAGCATCGGGAACCTATTCAAATGCAAATGCTAGCTTGCACAATAGATGGTTCAATAATATGCTTCACTAACAACACATTAAAATAACAAGGCACGGGCAATCAAAAACATTTACACAGTTAGACCATATACATAGTAAATCAATATTTGAGAAAAACCTGATCATGGTCTCTAGAACTGTTTGAAATAGAAACATCCCCTGGACTGCTCCTGGCATCATCCATTCTGTCTAGCAGTAGGGATCGATAATTGGAATTTTCTGACAGTGGTCCAAGAGGTATAGCTTGCATGGATTGCAGTTGACTACAGTTGCTCTTCTGCAGGTGCTGCTCATACAAATAAAACCGTCCACCGTAAAGAGATAATTAGAGCTGAAAACACCAAAGTACAAGCTGCACGTCTCAAGGACGAAGTAGTAACAGCCCTCAAAGAGTTAAACATTAAAATGTTTACCGGCAGAAATGTATCTCCGCCGGATGAAATGGGGAGCCCAACCTGACCTGAAACAAAACTAGACAAATTATTGTTGACAGAATTCCACCGCCTGTCCACTGGAGCATTCTCTGCCTCAGAACTGTGACCAGATAGAAGCGATCTTATCTGTTGACGAAGCTGAAGCTGGGAATGTTCATAAGGTTCGGATTGATATTTTCTCTGATGGGAAAATCCAGGCTGAAGCTGATCAAGACCCTGATTAGAGCCGAGAGACTTGTGACATTAAGGAGAATGACTTAGAAGCAGGATGCGATTGGCACAAACAAGCAATTAATTACCAAATAGAAACACTTAATAAACTTTGTTGTCCTATTCCAATCTTTTGTCTGTGCTTAAATATGTTGCACAAGTTACTTGAGTGACCAAATTTTAAAAAATTAATATTTCTTCTATAACTGATTGATCATTCAGGATAAAAAGCTTACACAACTTACCACAAGTGGCCAGCCCTTTAGTGGAGAAGTGCTCCCTGCTAGATTTGATCCTGAAAGGAAAGCAATTTGCCAGAGTGAATCTCACAAATGAAATCTCAATAGAATAAGCTTAAATTATGTTTCTACATGTGAAATGATGGCAACCTTTTTAAATCGCAGAAAACTAGATCACTAAGTACTCAGACAGCTCTTTTAAATTCAATGAACACTAGATTCATTGAAAATCTACCAAGACGGAAACTCTACATCCTGTAATGATGACTTTTACAGACTGCAAGTTACAAAGATCCTGATTGAAATTAGTGGTTCCTTCTCAAGAATGTATGTTGAGATGAATATCAACTCAAGCAAAACATTAACTCAGACCATAATGCATGGAGTTAGAAAGTTGCTACTCTGAAATTCCAATGCAAGCTCAGATATAGATGCTTAAAGACAGATGGCATTTTATACTTGAGCAAGAACTACTCTTTGGATGGAAAGTTCTCAATTGCTTGGAGCCTGAATGGACAGTGGTTGGATTTTGATGTTGGATGTGTAGAGGAGATGTACCCAACCATATGCAAAAAGTTGCCCCAAGAATGTGAAAATGTGAACCAGTGATATCAAACCTGAGCTTTATAAGCTTTCCACTTAATTGAATTAATCAAACAATGACAAAAACATTCAATGCTCACAGCTTTGTAAGTCACTAGCAAAGAAACTTTTCAGGGTCCAAAGAAGAGTTCATTAATTGCATCTTATTTTAAGAGTTGTACCGCATAAGCAAGTCAACAAAAATCTAATGTACTGTCCTCCTTTTCAAAATATACGTCCACTCACTATTTTAGGTTGCGTCAAAATATAAGTCCACTTTGTTTTCCAATACACATTATGCTAAAGTTTTTCCAAATTACCCAGTTTTAAATGTAACTCAGAAAATCCGAATACACAACTACTTGGGTTAAGTGGTTGGTCTTATTATGGGTGAAATAGAATTTTTCCATTAGTTAATTATTAGCCCTTCATTCTTGTGCCACTCAAAGTGGACTTGTATTTTGAAAAGGAGGTAGTACCATACAAGGCAGACATACCACATAAACTACTTTAAGCTTCAGTGAAACATAAGAAAACAGAAATGCAAAAGGGCATTAACTTTATTGACTAGGACTTGGACTAATAATGCTATGCAGTGTTCCACACCTGAAGCCCTCGTGTCAAATGAAGGAGTCTTTCTTGTTATACTGAGATCCATATCTGGCAAGATATCCCTCTGAATTTGAAGGTTTGAGTCTTCCTTGTTCAAACTGTAAGCTGCAGATATTTGCCTGGGAAAATTGTTCCTAACCATGCCGTGTCGGAGCTGTCCTTTATCTCCATGATTTTGCTGCAGCAGATGCTGCCCTTGCTGCCGATGAAGTTGAAATTGCAATTGTTGTAGCAAGTGTTGCTCAGAACGCAACTGCTGACGCTGTTGTTGCAGTTGCTCATTTGCTCTCACCATCGAAGCCTGCCATTCAAAATCTAGAGAAAATAAGCTAAAAATCTCTCCCTGCATGTAAGCAATTCCTTCTTCCATGTTCCCATACTAGTGTTCCAGTTTCAAATTCGAAATCATAACAAAGTAAATCATTGGGATATTAAGAAAATCTAAACGGATGCACCGGATGAAAACCTTGTATTGATCTTATATGACATAATCTGTAAATCCACCGAACAATCCTTAAGTACTATACTACTATTATTATCATTTGAAACTATTGCTCACATTCCAGTGTTCAGTAATAAAGGTCCAAACTGTAAAAATTAGAGAGAGAGAGACTTAAATTACCAAAATGGAAAAGGAGAAACGAACTTTAAATGACTCTTCAAAACCATGTATACCCAGAAAAAGAAAAACATGTTTACGCAAGCTAGGGAACGAGTTATGAACACTTTACCTCATGATCAGCCTCTGCACCCTTGTATCTAGCGATGAACACGTCCCAGAAAACCGACCACCATTCAAATAGGAAACTACCAGGAGCATCAATTGCTGAAAAGCAAAAGCAAACCAGAAATGAAGAACCAACCAATCTCAGAGATAGTTAAGGGATACAAAACTTACAAAACAGTACCTTTCTTACCGGTTGAATTTGTGGGTAGCTGGGCTTCACTTTGAAATGCTTTTGCGGAATTCTTATACTTTTTCTTAACCAGGTAATCTTGAATGTAGAGATCCAACCTATCACCATCACAATGAAAGATAAGAAAACTAGAAATTTGAAAGTGCAACATATAATTAAAGAAGAACAGTAGCAACAATCATACAGGTAAAAAGCTGATGAACCCTAAATTACATGATGATGAACACAACCCATGCATCCATACACCAAAAATTAAAACCCCCCAACAACCGGATGATGACATCGTTCACCATACACGCCACCGCAAAAAAAGTATGCAAGTAACAAAATATCAGAGCCACAAAGACATCGGAAACGAAAAGAACTTTTTATGTTCCCAAAACCCAAGAAAACAACTTTCCATCATATAATATTGCATAAAAAAAAAAATCAATATGAAAGGCAAAGCGAAAACCATTATCAGCCCAAAAAGCTTAACAAGAACATGGAAGCGTACAACAAAAAATCAGACGAGCCCATTTATGCAAAGCAAGAAAGCAACATAACCCACAAACATTAAGAGGTTTTTCGCCCAAATTAAAAAAAATTAAACGGGAAGAAGAAAGATGATCAAGAAAACAACTTTAGTCCTGATACAAACGAAATGACCGAATAAAAAAAAAACAAAACTATGGAATTACTCAACTAATAAAACAGTACTAGTTCAAGAAATAGGAAAGAAAACTTGCATTTTTTCGGAATCCATGGCACAGCTGTTGATGAAGCTCGAAAACCCTTCAGTAAAAGAACACTTTTTTCCCTTGGTTAACAACTTGGGTATTCTTTACTAGGCAGAAAATGCCGAAAATTATGAACTTTTTTCTCTTTTTTTTAGAGTTATTATTCCAAATTCAAAACCCACAAAAAAAAAAGTAGTCTTTGCAGTCAGAATGAGGGAAGAGAAGAAAGCATCAGCCCTCAAGCATGCACTTTGTGTTTTCTCTCTCGTATGAGAAGGCAGGTGAGAGTGAAACAATAAATGCCAAACAATTGTTTTGCCTCTTGAAAACAAAAGAGGAAGAGAATCAGCTGCCCAGAGATTTACCGCGTTAAAAGTTTTTTGTCTGCGTCTCGTTTCCCCAAGTGTTGTTTTTTTTGACTGCGACGTAATCATGTGGTTTTACTGTACCCAAAACAACACGATTTCCCAAGCTATTGGTGTGATGACACCGCCATAATTTTTCACTGTAGTGGGTGGGGTGAAAAATAATTAGGAGTGCTACTAATTAATTACACACGTTTTCTTTCTCTGCATTTGTTTTATTCCCTTATTTTAAAAAATCTGCTAATTAATTTGATCATAATATGGCTAGTGTTAATCATTAATCTAAAATTTGTAATTAAATTTGAAATGAAACGACTTTTTTTAGACAGAATTTAATAACAAAACAATATAATCAAAACCTCTTCCTGTTGGGGTGTGGGGGTTCAAGAAAAGTGTATGCAGTAACGGAATTTAATTGAAATATTTTGTTCTAATCTATTATTAAAATTAACACAACACAACGTAACCAGGAAAAGAAATTAAATTTAAATCATTGCAATAATCTGTTTGTGATTTGTTTCCAGAATGACATAATTGTAACAGATGGAAGAGTAAGATAACCAGCCAAAAGATTAATAATGGATGTACTATCTTCCGTATGCTACAATATGAGATTTTAATACCTAAGTTTAATTAAGAATGGTTTACTAGTAGTAAAATTGCTTGGAGAATTGGATGCTAGCTCGTGGCCTCGATGTGACAATTCTATCATACCACGTGAGTTTAAAGAAGAATTTTTGAATCGTTTCATTTAAACAAACAAGAATTGTCTTCAAAAAACTTGGCATAGACCAAAATAAGATCAAACTAAAGCCCAACATATCCAACCTGTAGTGTACCATATTTATTGTCATTTGATTCAAACTGTTTTGCATACACTTGATAAAATAGAATTTAGATACTAGTAAATGGTGACAAGGAAATAAAGAGAATAGAATCCAATGTTAATAATAATAATAATAATGTAAAAAAGTGGTCAAAACTATATGTGGTGTGTGACAAAAATAATTTCTTGGAGGACAAGGAAATGATAAAGCCGGATATGTGGCAAAGTGGCCAAAGGACAAAACTGAGAGGTTTTGTTTGTATTCAGATGTCTCTTTCTTTCTCCATAAGCTTTAAAAAGAAAGGCAAGCAAAAATGAAGAAAGAAAAACTTGTCCTTTTCCTCTATCAAGTTTTGGTCTTCATGTGATGATACATCATTATCACCAATTAAACCTCTTACTTGCCCTCCTTTTTTTTTTTTTTTTCCAAATATTGAAGGTTAAAATGTTTTTTCAAGGGCTTCATAAGCAAATAAATCGTTTTATGAAGTGTTTCAGTTTTTCCTTGTTCTATTAGAGATGAGCCATTATAATACATGGATACAATCGGAGAGATATTTACCTCATCCTTTTTTTCCCCATTTTTCATCTGACGAGTGAGGAAGAATACGTGAACAGTTTTACCAATTTCTTTATATGGACTATTGTGTTTCAAATTATTTTCCTTTTTTGTAGAAGTACTGGTCAGTACTCAGTAAGGTCTCGTAGGTGAAAAGTGGAATACAATACCAAATTTCCTATTTTATTGAGGAAATATATGAAGGGTGTATCACTTTGATTATTGGTTTCGTCATGGCCTCACGTGGATCATCGACAAGATTTATGAGGCTATTAGTTTGGACGCTTAACGAAGTAATACTAGTAGTTAATATATAATGATAAAAAAGTAATAATTTATGGCTTGTTTGGCCAATATTTTATTTTAGTTTTTGTTTTAAATTTGAAATAAAATTTAAAAAATTGTTTGGATAATATTTTAAATAAAAATATAAAATAACAATATATTTTTAGAGCACCACCAGACCACTACCACCATCGGCGCCGCCGCTAGACCACCCACTACCGCCGACCAGCGACCGGCCGGCTGGATTTCCGCCAAATTCTGGCGAGCTAGTCGTCCGGCGGCGGCAGTGGGCAGTCCGGCGGCAGTCGGTGGCGGCTGAGGTGGTCCGGTGGTTGTGGATAAAAATTATGTAAAAATAATGTTTGAAATAAAATTCAAAAAGTGAATTAAAAAGTTGTTTGGTGTATTGAGTTTTGTGTTTGAGAGCTATTTTAAGAGGTAAAATGAGACAGAAAGGCAAAAAGTTATATCGGTTCAATATGACATGGCATGTTTGTTTCTGGGATGTTTTGAATTTATTTGTACAGTTCATACATTTAATTTTATTTATAAGTTTTTTCAATCTACCATCATCACTTTCATCGATAAGGAACATTAACGACTATTTTTACCTATTAATCAATAAATCAATATTTGTTAATAAAGATTAATTAAAAATCTTACTTTAAAATTATTCACATAATCTGTATCGTTCACTTTTAACTAATTTGTGCATACGTCCAAATGGACCTATTAAGTTATAATAAAAAGAGTACAAATTTAACTAAACCACCTTCATATTAAGAAAAGATGCATTGACTAATTGAAGACAGTAGGAAATGTACCAAAAAATACAAACAAAACAGTATGGGTCAGCCTCATGTACTAAGATAGTTTTCTACTGGAGTTTTTGATCAAAAAAATGCCCCAAAAATAGGAGAAAAGAGAAATATAGGTTAAATTTTGGATAAGAGAAAAATACCAAGATCGGATTCCTGAAATCCAATTTTGCAGGTAACTCGAATTTACAACATCAGAACTTTCCTTAATACGGAATATTAATTACTCTAATCATGGTTAACGGAAACTCGGATTTTGAAAATCCGATCTTAGCATATTAAAAAATAATATTTTTAAAAAAAATACTTAGTTTTTTTTTTAAATCGAATGTTTGACCAAATTCGGATATCAGATATCCGAATTTATTCTAGAACAATAAAAGGGTCGGATTCCTGAAATCCGAGTAAGGTAAAATCGGATTTTGAAAATCCGGGAAAGTTAAGCTCGGATTTTAAAAATCCGATTTATTTGTAAAATAAAGGAAAGCTCGGATTTCAGAAATCCGACCTTGGACAGAGATTTATAAAAGAAATAAAGAGTTGGCTTCTAAACCAATCCCAACCTATCACAACAGCACCAAAACCAAATCTCACGCATATAAAATCGTTGGGCTTCCACCAAAGTTCGGATCAGCAAGAAACGAACACCCTTGAGGACGTTGTTGTAACTCTCAGAAATGTTAGTTGTCTGGTTACCCCAACGATAGTGTTTGTCTTTGGCAAGAGTCCACTGACAAGCACCAATCTCCTCGAGATATAAGTATGCTTCATTGTCGAACTCACGTAACTCTTTCCATAGTTCTTTGTATTTAGACTTTGAAAATTTTGAGCCCATGTCCCAACACAACATCTTGATCTTTCTACTTCGAAATCGAGCCACCAAGTTACTGCGGACGTGACGAAGGCAAAACTGGTGATATGCATTCCATTCGGGTATTAGGCTTATTGCACTGATGGTTCCCTTGTGCCGCTCGGATATAACACACAAAGGAAGGTCGGATATAATATGATTCCTCAAATGCTTCAAGAAGAATGACCAACTTTCCTCACTCTCTTCATCTACGATCGCATATGCAATTGACAGGATGCGCTTATTCGCAGTTTTCACCATCGCAGCAAGTAACTTCCTTTTGTATCCGCCACGCAAGAGCGTCCCGTCGATACTAATCACCGGAGGACATTTAGCAAAACAATCAATTGCAGGCTTGAATGCCCAAAAAACGTATTTGAACTTCCTCTCTGTATCGGTCCAACCCGGTTGCCATTCCCACTCTACAACTGTGCCGGTATTGCTCTTCTCAAGGGCGGCGAAAAACCTAAATTAAATAAAAAAAAATTAATACTTATTTTAAAAGTAAATTACAAACAAATCAAACAAATTAGATAGGACTTAAGTAAATAGCTTGGAAGTATGTCAAAATTGGAAACTCAGTCGCCGAAAACAAGATCGATAGCTTTTCTCTTTCAACCCTATGCCTTATGAGATGAGCAATAAGCGTTGCGCTCACATTCCGATTATTATTTTCCTTGGTGACATTCATAGAATTGTGCTCGGACACCCATGTCACAATCTCCCACAAACCGTAGTCTTTCAAGGAGGAACGTATCTTCCAACGACAAGGAACATAACCCTTAGGGGTTGACTCTTTTAGGGATTTGCACCAAATATACCATGTTGAACCATCACTTTCTTTCACATAAAACTCTCTCTTTTGCTCTATGTTCCACGCTGCAATACTATTTTTTGCATCCTCCTTATTCTTAAAACATGTCCCTCTCCCGATTGTTGTGGTTGTCCCGTTCCACATAGTAAGTTGAAGTTCATCTTTGTCCACTTTTGTATGATCCCATGTACCATGTGAACGATATATGTGCATGTCCTTTGTGGCAAATTTGTCTTCAACCTCTTCATCACTCCTCCGACTCCCTTCGGATATTGATTGATCTTCATCGCTTTGATCACTTATTAATGTGTAGTCCTCATCATCCAAGTCATCATCTTCTGCGTGATCATCTTCCATGTGATCGACATCCTCCATATTCGTCCACCCATATCGTCATTTTCCATATAATCAACATTCTCCATATTCGGCCCACCACTACTTATCCCTACTTCCAAATGGGACCTAGAAGTACCCGCCACCTCCAAATCCATATACAAATCAATATATGTTGAATTTGGAAGGAAATAGAAGACTTGCAACGATGCGTCGTCCTTGATTTTGGCGATACGCCTAAAACCATTGCCCATCGTATCATACAAAATTGATAGACTTTCCTTCACATTCCCTCTATTTCACCCCACCCTTTCACAAATCAATCCAACCAAATCATAGTACGATACTTTATGATCAATCACGAAGGAATCGTCCGGCATGTTGTTAAAAGTATTCACAATCCTATTCTTCACAACAAATTTGCTCGACCAATAGACATTAATGAAATATGGACCGTTAAACGCCAT